AAAAAAAAGTGAGAGTCATTTTTGCAAGCCCCTCTGATTTCAAATTATTGGTCCGTGCTAAGCAGGTCTTGGATCAGCAAGGTGAGCCTTCCTTGGTTCTGGGTTTGATTTGACTATAGAATAACTTACATGCGCTTCCCTGTTATCTATCACCTGGCCAGATCCGTGTTTTTAGGCCATCACGGCTCCAACCCAACATAGCGGGCTGTGCAGTCTTCAGATCCAGAGGGGTTTGATTCAAGCCGACTTCGAACCCAATTCATCCGAGACTCAGGACTCATCGGACTCATCCAGATTGTGTCCTGAATCCAATCACCTGGGGAGCTCCTTCCATTCTTTGCTGGGGACCCCCCCTTCCTCCGCTGCTTCGCCCCGGAAGTGCCTTACTAGTAGTAACAAGTGCCTTACTGGTAGTAACAAGAAGCTATTAATTACAATTCTAATTAAGTTCTTATTAGTAGCTTCCTAGTAGTAAGGCACTTGTTCCTAGTAGCGTGGCACTTGTTACTACTAGTAAGGCACCTATTACTACTAGCGTGAGGAGTCGGTGATGGCCATCACCACAATGGCGGAGCCGATCATGTCCTCGCCGCCGCCGGAGGGCAGTGTGGATGCTCAGAGCGCTCATGGAAGGGGGGTGACTGGCCCCTTAGACGGAGCAAAGGTTTTTTGAACATGCGTTGGAATTCATGGAGAACATTCTCCATTGGGTTTGGGGGAGATCCTGGAAGATATCAAGATGGTTTCTCTTTGAGCACTTGGAGCAGATCTGGCAGCTGATTCTGAGCAAGAGACCCAAATCCGGCCTTTCAACACCCTAAGGGTGGGTTCACACCCCAAACATCACAGCACGGCGAATGCCCACCTCACAGCTTTAGGTACAGCCACCAGTTCGATATCGGTCCCCATTGACGGGCCCCATTGGGTGTGCGGACTTTGAAGGTCTTTCAATTGCCACAGTTCCACAGCGATGAAGGGAATGTCAAGGAAATGCTGTCGAGAGTGTCACGAGCAGTCAGTCTCGTTACATCGAAGCAGTTTCTCCTTGCGACGAAGTGTCACGGCATCGAAACAGTGGTTGATGCTCCATTTTCTGTGATGCATGTCATCCTTCTTTTCATTTGTCCTCCAGTCAGGAGTGCAGCATGGCCGCCATGATAGCTAGCTTGGTATCACCTATCACCCATTTTCCTGAGTTTGCCACCTGCTGGTGACAGCTTCCTATTTGTACGAATCCGTTTTGTGGTCCTTGCTTGGCTGCAAGGAGTTACGAATCCATCCTTGCCCACAGAAACTGACCAGCAACTGCTATGGAGTCTGTCCTTGAAAGAGTGTCAGTGTTTTCTTTAAGACCCTAAACCCTAGGCCCAGGCCAGCACCCTAAGATTTCCAAGACCAGTGAAGATCCTCCCAGCTTTTGGGTGGACTTTCCAGGCTGCTGTGGAAGTGGAATCTCTTTGGTTTTCCGTACACATTTTCCGATATACCTCCACTGGATTCCACTGGCATGTCAGGTCATAGATTCAAAACGTTCCATCATTGCTAATATCCATTGTATGTTCTAGGGGCAGCAGGAACGACGGAACGAACATGTCCACAACTCAGGAACCTCCCAAGACATCAAGACATCCCTTCCAGCCGTGGTACACTTTGGTGTTGCCAGAAGATTTTCTTCCTTCTGCGCAGTCTTTCCCTTTGTGTCCGGTCACCGTCCTTTCCCTTTGCGTCGCGGTGGAACGACGAGGCGAAGATCTCAAAAAGGCCTTGGACGAAGTGGAGGCCTTTTTCGCTCGGTCTCCGGTCGGTCTCCAGATCGTCCTGCCATGGGTTAGGAGCACCCCATGTACACTGCGACTCATGTTTGAAGGAAGTGGAACTTGAAGTGGAACACTTCCCACTTGGGGAGAAAACAGGTCTTTCCAGTCCATACATGCATGTGCACCTGCATCTCTAGGCCTGGCGGCCTAGCTTTGCCAATCTCCATCAATGTTGTGATCAACACAGTCAACACACGGGCTCTCTTGCACATCCTGGAAGGACACCATTTTGGCCGAGCATCCCCATGACTCCATGTAGTTTCTGGAAACATTTCACCTGGAACCTGTCCTCTCATTTTCCAGGCCACAGCCAAGGAAGCACAAGACAAAATCACCGAAGCCACTGGGCGTCCACGACAGTGGGATCTGGGAGAAAAAAATCGCTGGGGAAGGAGCCGAGAGGGTCGCCAAGTCTGCTAGCGAAGCGAACAAAGGGTGTTCAGAGGATTCTTTTCATGTGATGCGAATCAAACGCAAAAGCGAACAACCCGAGAGAAGTTCCATGACACCCGACGTGTGACGACATCACGAATCTGACCGGAAGTGATGAAATCTGTGCCAACTTGGGTAGAATGGAGTATTTTTTTGGGAGTACTGTACTGTACGTCCTTTGGATCGAAGCACTTTGTGTTGAGCCTGTTCGAACGACAGTCAGTTCCGAACATCAAACCACTGGCGAGGTGGCCCTGAAATGGTCCAAAGACAGCCATGAAGCGACTGTCCTTTCTTGAAGCGACCACCTCCAATCTCCACGTGTGCTTCGCACCGCACCTTGGCTGAGACCCTTTTTTCCGATTCGTTTTTTTCCGATTTGTCGGTGACGTGAGGCCCGAAAAGCGGTCACTGACAAGATCAAGGAGGCCCGATGTGACGTGACAGCTGGAGCAAGTTTGGTTTTCAGGTGGGGGAAAGGATCTCCTGTCCAAATGGGGTAGACGAGGAGTTAGATGAGGAGTGCTAGGGGGTCCTGACCCTCACAGATCTGCAAGAATTGGGGCTGGTTTCTTGGAGCTGCACGGAAGGTCATTTTGAGATTCCTTTGAATACACAGGGACAGTTGGGTGGATGTTCCTAGGCAACATGCTCAAACTTTGCGAGATGACATATGGGGACACAGACACCCTGTTTTGATCTATGGTCAGTTTATGGCATACACCGGCATGCCCGATTTGGAACGATAACTCGTGACTTGAACTCATCAACAAGCCGCAGTTCTCTGGAGAAATGTTCTTTGGGGAACTGCACATCCTCTGGGGTTTGGGTTTGAAAGTGGTCGTGTGGTTGGGGCATTCAAGGGAATTTTCAGGTAACTGGCAACAGCAGTATGTGCAAGTAATGATCGCCTCCAGTGGCCTTCCATGTGCCAGTCCTGAAAAATCTTCCGTAGCTGAAGCGGTTCTTGAACTGTCCGGACCGGCAGTTTGGTTCCCATGAGACTTTACTTGAAAGAAACGATCCGAAATACAGTTTTGGTTGTAAATATGCACTCCTTGTTGGTGAGTTGCGTAAGCACATGTAACCGATCCACTTCTTCCTGCCAGTGCCGGCTCTTCCACATGACCGTGCGGAAGGCGGGGTCCTTGTGTGGGTGGGAGCCAGAAGGTCATCATGGGTGAGTTCCATATGGGCTTCGGTCCCAGTTGCGAGGTAGGTCAAGTGAAGATTGTCCGTATGGCTTTTGAGACTTTGTAGATGGCCCAAAGGACTTACTTGGCAGTTTTCAATCTTGACAGGATTGCTTGAATGACGGCACTGCTTTGGCCTCCCATTACAGGGCTCACACCTCGGCCAAACAAAGGCCGAGCAACCCCTTTGCAAACTGACTTGCTGGTTCGACTGGCCCGGTGGGAAGCCGGCATGGTCTCCTAGCCACATAGCCTTCCTTCACGACACGCGAAAGGCGAAACAACATGAGGCTCACACGAAGAGTTGTTTGTGATTGGACAATGCGACCATGGCACTGGATTCTGCATTTCCAGGGTTGTTGCGCCCGAAAGACTGTGGATGACCTCCAGCTTCTTCGCGGTGGAGGAATATCGCTATTCCGAGAAGAGAACCTAGGTTCCCGGACGTCCTGTATATTGATGTGTCAAGACACTGCATGATGTGCCTTCACTCCACACGAATCTGCGGTCGGCCCGCTTCCTTTCCATGAGGGCTTGACCTTCACACGGTGGAGAGATGATGTAGTGGATGTGGAGAAAAGGCGGTTGGGTCGCCTGACCCTCTCGACTCTTCCGAACATGTCCTACAGATGAGGGATGTGGTTGGAGGATGTTGCTCTGAATCGCTCGGGGAATGGGTATGCACGTGGTCGTTTGCAGAGGTGTAGTGTAGTGTAGCCTAAATGTGCTGACTTCTGATCGATGCCCGTGCTGACTTCTCACTCCGGTGGTTGCCGTTTCAGTCCTGATGTCTCGGCATTCATCATGGGAACACTCGTTGGAACCGATGTTTACTCTCTTGTTGGGATTTGTCAGGCACAACTGGAGCCTGACTTATTAGGCTATTAGGTAACAGACACGGACACACACACACACACACACACGCACACATACACATACACATTGGTTTTATCGGATTCAGTCGCTATTTCAACGAACACCTCAGATCCCGCGCCGATCTTGTAATGGTGACTCTTGATTAGTAACTCACCCCTTTGTCAGACGTAGAAGCGTCACCATTAGAGAGGTCATATTTCTCAACATATTAGATGTCTCCACGCCGACCAGACCCCTCTCGTTCACGGCGTCCCGCGCGTCTCGCGCCAATCGGGCAGAAAGCGATGGAAGAGTATGGCCAGCTGCAAACCAAGCTGGCAGAGGCCCGGAACATCGGTCATGCGAGAAAGAACAGACAAACGAAGGTACCGAGAACGGCACGACCAGCGGTCTTTCCAGGGTCACGTGATGTCTAAAGAAGATTGAAGGAGTCTGTTCTGAAGGTCTATGGAAACAAACAGAGAAGAGTTTGAGCTGGGTACCGAGTTGCTGGCCACGTCCTTTGGATGTCTTCCCCAAATGCAGAAGGTAACGGACACGGATTGGTTTTGGATAGAGACACATTTTATCCAAAGGTTTTTGCGAAGATGTGGCCACTCATGCTGTTCTCTTTTGAGTGCTTTCTGTCATTTCTATGTTCAATGGTCTTGCTTCGGGCTAGCCTGGTTCAGGGCTTGTTGATTGTCACCGGGTCGAACGCTCACCCGCTGAATGCAACACATTTGTCGTTCAAGTGCCATACATATTGAGGTCTTTTGAACACGTTTCCGTTCATGAAGGGGGTGGTCGAAGTGGTTGTGTTAAGACTGTTTGCACCCCATTGTCACCAGGACTTGCTGCATCTTTTGGCACAAATGGCCTAGTCTGGCTTGAAAGAGCGACTAAGATGTGGTCACACGGCCCAGTCGCACCATGCTTAGCGTCAGTCCTGTCTAGGTGCAGAAGAAGTTGATGCCCTTCAGGTCGAGGGCTGCTGGGATGGGCCAGAAGATGTTCATGACATTTTGGACCAAGTACTGATCATGCCAACCTAGAACTATAGTTTCTTTTGACGGGCAGTGTAGGCTAGTAGACTGCCGCTTTGCCAGTCTTGTGGAATTTCAGGAGATATATGAGTGCTCGTATGGGCGAATAATTCCTAGAAGCATGGGCACCGTGAACATTGTCGCTCTTAATGTAGACTGTTGATAATACCCCTACCAGAATGGTTTTATATACATCCATATGGCGGGTTTTATTCACCCGCACAAGAATTGACCTGACTTTTTGAGGGCCCTCTTCTGGGGAACCCCCAGCGACCCGAACTCGAGGCTTAAGTGACCTCAAGTTCCGGCAGTTCGGGGGGATCTCAAGTCGGGAAGCTACTAGGAACAAGTGCATCGCTACTAGTAACAAGTGCCTTACTAGTAGTAACAAGAAGCTAGTAGGAACAAGTGCATCGCTACTAGTAACAAGTGCCTTACTAGTAGTAACAATAAGACTTTAATTAGAACCACAATTGAAGCGTTCGGCAAGCGACAGCGTCCTCCAGGACCTTCAAGCGTGACTTCCAGGCGAAGGTGAAGGCAAAGCAGGCGGGACCTGATTCGGGCAGTTCTGGAAGTTCAATGTCTCAAAAGAATCGAGTCTTCAAAGATGCCACCACTGAATATACATATACTGAATACACACACACACATATATATATATATTGTTTTTTTTTTTTAAATACACATATATTCCCTATTGAATATAATCGAGACAATTTTCAAGGAGTCACGGCCTTCGTCGTCCCGTCGTTGTGCCGAGGCCTTGACCGAGCTGGTGGACAAGCTGAACACCGCCGAGTTGGAAGTGGAGAAGGCCCGAGTCTGTCCTGCCTACACCGGCTCGGAGGGCTCGGAGGGCTGGAAGGGTGTGGTTTCGGGTGGTCGCCGGTAAGCCGCGATGGGCTGTGGTTTCGTGGTGAAAGGCACCGGAGTTTTCAAGAAGTGTGGGAGTGTTCACCAATGTCTTTTGGATCCTATCCATCCAATGCTTGCACTGAAGATGGCCGTGTCCCGGATGGTGAAAGCGTTGGTATCTTGCGAGTGTAATGCTTTTCGGGTTGAACCCAGGGAAAACTCATGAAACTACGATAGGTACTCTTTGCAATTCTTTGAACGTAGCTTATTGTAGGGTTGCCAAGCGTAGCCAGGCGCACCGTTTTCATCCAGCCTCCAGGAGTAGTGACTCTGAGGATCGAGGGATGGATTTTGGGACCCCTAGGCCTAGGCAGGTCTAAGCAGAGATTGCCCTTCGCCAAAATCAGGGAGGAGAGATTGCGTTTGGAGCGTTGGCGTGCACCACAGGCTGCGATGATGGGCATTGCGGCAGAGAGCGGTCAGATGAGCGAGGCCGATTCACATCCCGCGCGGAGAGACTGTTGGAAGTAATGTAGGCAATGTAGACTCTTGATTGATTAACAAAACCTCCTCATCCCTCATTTGGATTGAAACACCTCTGAGTCTACCGAGTCTACCGTCTAGTTACATGGATCCTCTCGGGTCTAATTTTTAAATCTAGGCGCCAGTAGAGTATGGTGCAAGTAGGCGGTTCCTAAAAATGTGTTCCCTCCATGAGGCTCGTAGAGATGGGTACCAAGCAGCTATGCCGTCTAAACAAGTGTATGGGTAGGCCCCCCTGAAAGACAGAAAGGCAACTGGCACAGATTGGTCACTTGGGAATGCAACCAATTCCAATTCGAACGGTTTGTTTTCACACTTGCATCCGCAGTTGACAGAAATGGCACGTCCAAGTAGATTCTGATTTCCGCACCCTATTTAGCAGCCACCCCAAACCGGGAAACACTAGGACAAGTCTGGAAACCCAACTTAGATGACATGAGTATTGGTTTGGAAAGGGGCCAGGGGACAGTCTGAACACTGAGCGCCTGCCTCAGGAGGAGATTGCGGCTTGCCAGAAGGTCGGGGAGCCGGCACTGGCTTCAGTGCAGGCGACTGGGTGGGCTGGCGGGCGGTTTTGCTTCGTGAAACGGTGGATTTTTGGGTCGATGCAGTCCCGGTGTAAAGCGGGGACCGAGAAGTGCAGGCGGCCTTGAAGGACATCGACAATAAGTTCAAGGGTGCTCAGTCTGCAGTGAAAGATGAGCTGACCCTCCTGAAGGCAGCGGGGGTGGCTGTGGAGGTGCCATCAGTGAGGTGGGCTGACAGATGTTGCCTAGCCCAAGTGATGACGTGACCACATGATGAAACGGATGAAACTGATGAATTCCAGTCTGTCTTGAATTCCAGAGAACTGGGTTGACTTCTTTGAGACGCCCTTGTTCTACTCCGGGATCGACTCAAACGCCGCACCCGACGGCCCTCACTTTGCAGGACCGAGGGGTCGAGATGAGGAAGAAGTGCGAGGACCGGGGGAGCGGAGGATGTGTTGAGCGGAAGAAGTCCGTCATTTTGTAGTCCCACAAATTTGCATGGACATCCTGGGATTGGCATCCTTCATGGCATTGATTTCATGGTGTCAGGTTCTTTCATTGGTTTTAGGCGGTTTGAGCATGGGACTCAGACAGGTGGTTTGAGCCTGGGCGCTGTAGGATTTACCAGTTACTCTGAGACCGCCTCAGTTCTCGCACTAGTGACTTGTGAGGCAAGTCCACCCCGCACGTGGACATAATAAGAAAGGGACGAGCATTCAGGGCTTCGATGGCGGCCTGGAGGATGTTCAATCCCGCCGGACTTTCTAATCGTCACATGGCCTGATGACCAGCCAGCTCCACAGGGTGTGATGAGTACAATGAGGTCGCAGAAGCAAGGCGCCGGGTCAGGAGTGTTTTCGGGGTCTAATGTCTTGGGAAATTTCCTCAGAGGCCCACGTGCACTTCCGATGGTGATTTGTCCTTGGTTTGGTCTGTAATATGATCTGGTTTTAGTTTTAATGGATGTTACAAACATGAATCCCCGAGAAATCGCCAGAATTATATGTATAGTCCATATCAATAGGACGGTATATGTGTTCACAGAACTAAAACAGCCTGCTTTGGATACCTGTTCTTCTTGTCAAATTGCTGCAATCAATGTCTGTAGTTTGTCAACTTCAGCTTCCATGCGTTCTGGCAGGCAGGGGGAATTGATCGGGCCCAGTATTGCCTGTGTTGGCTTTGTCTTGGAGTGAACGAACGGATGTTTAGAATTCTTAACACATCAAACCATGGACAGCAGACCGCTGGTTTCCTTTTTGGATCACTCACTCCAGGACCCGAGGATGCTTGTGCCATGAGTTCATCTTGCCATATCTTGCCTATGTAGAGCCGACCATTTTTTGAGAGATTCCGCCCTCTCAGCGAGATACACAACCATCTCTTGGTTTGGATTTTCAGGCCACAAAAGCAAGGAGGCTTTCACAAAACGTTTTAGCATGTTTTACCTTCGACAGAAATCCAACCAATCGCCAGGCCAAATTCCCATGTCCAGATTTGATAAAGCCCCGTTCTCCCTCAATTTGGTTGATCAACAGCAGGGCCTGCAGCCCTGAGAATCATGAACCATGACTCTGTCGAGCCAAGTATGGATGCCTTAATCAAAAGGACCAACCGGATCCAACCGGTACTTTTGCATCTTCGAAACTTTCGCTCTTGCATGCTCCAACCAGCGTACCATCCCCATTGCGTCCTCGAGGCATTTCTGCTCAGCAAATGGCCGCCAGCATCGTTGAGAAGGACCGATGAACCGGTGAATAAACCCTCACGGGGGACCGCTGACGAACCGCGTGACCCGGGCTTGTTGGCGGGTGAAGCTGGAAGTTCTTGGACCTTTTAAAGCCACAAGTTGTTGCAACATGCAAGAAACATGCAAAACAGATTCAACAAAAAACACGCCCACAAGGCTGATGGATTTTTTGTTCACTGGCATGACTGGGGACATGCAAATGAGCAAGTTACAGGCACAAGTAAGCGGTCTGAGTAAACCAGCTGCTTGATTCAACTTTAGGATCCAACGAGGTCTCTCCGAGACCATCCAGTTGTGGAAAGTCGGTGGCGCCAAACAGCAAACAGGGGATCTTTTTTGGGCCAAAGCCAGGAGGACAGATTTGGGAAGGCTTAGGTGGATTGCCCTGGGCGACAAGCCCTCCCCTCTCCCCAAAGCATTTTCAGGGTCAATGATGGATGACCTGATTTGCAATGGCGAATCTCCACTTCGAGCTTGAATAACAAGGGCATCGCTACTAGTAACAAAGGGCATTGGTCCTAGGTCCTAGTAGCTAGAAGCTCCTAGCTACTAGTAGCAAGGTGCCTTACTGGTAGTTTTAAGGTGCCTTACTTCATCGCAGCTGGTGTCGTGAAATTCAAGCACCAGAGTTCTTGCTGGGTCAAAGCACTCTTGAACCATATCCACCCCACAGGGTTCAAGACAACAGTGTTTTCACGTTCTTTAGTCTTTACTTTGCATTTCATCTAGTAACACCATTCTTAAAATCCGTAAGGGCTTTACATTGCCCCTTCTGGGTCAACCTTTCCATATCATGTCTTTGGGATGACGAGGACTCTCCCACCTCCTCCTCTGGCCCGAGACACCCTCCGCACAGGTAGTGGCTGCCGAGGAGGCGCTAGCAGCCTGCCAAGACGCAGAGATGCCCTTCCTGAAAGGCATCGAGGCGACCGCGCGGGGCGGCGCGCTCCCAGCAAAAGGGGCCGAGGGAGGATGACGACGGGGCCAAACGTGCGACACCGTCGCGAAGGGATTGAAGGTGGATGGTTTCGAGAAGTGGACTTCCCCTCAAAATGTAATGTATCAAATGCCAGAGGGTGGCAGTGAGGTTGTTTCGCTCCTCGAACACATCAACCTCGACGTGTGTCTCCCATTGTCTCCTCATTTGAGCTGGGCCTAGTTTGTATGTTCGTCCGTCGGATGTGTTCCAGTCCCGCTAACTTTCATCCTCCATTGGTATTTGCGACCCTGGGACAAATGGGAGATTGATCCAACACCCTAAGTATTGCTAGAGCTGCTTGCATTTGGCCGATGAAGCAGTCAACTCCCTGGAATTTCCTTGCTTAATATACACTTGACATTCATTTCTAGATGTCCCATCACGACTGGAATTTGGAGGATATCACAAATCAACCATACACATATCCATATAGATTCTACACAGCTTCTATCAACTTGTGCTGTTGATCCACCTTCGCTTGCACCGCCAGGTGCTGCCCGCCGAGGAATCCAGCAAGGCCATCGGTGACTGCGAGGCGGCGGCCGTGCCTTGGCAAAGCGATGGGAAAAGGAACCAATGGATATATATATATATACACATATTCACAACAATTATTCAACAATTGGATACAAATGGATCATTTTTTTTTTCGGAGCCAGATGGAATAGCACCGGTTCCTGAACATCAAATTCTCCTTGGAGACGGTTTGGAGTCGAATTCGCGAATCACAGGTTAGATTGATTAATGGCCCTTCCAGGGACGTTTGCCCCCGCTGCCCCAAGAAAAGGCATAGAGCATCGCAAATCTATATATCAATTTGAAGGGAGTGCAAAGTCTATGTGAAAGTGAAAGGAAGATGAGTATGGTGCCCAGGATTTGGGCAGGTGGATGATTGCCACGCTTGCCATACAAAAGAATGTTTGGCACTTTCAACACGGCTTCACACTGTACCCTCACGCCACGCCCTGAAATCATGTTCGACCATTTTCAAGTTTGTATTTGTTTTGAAAGGATGGCCTGTTGGACGTTTACTGTCGGGAGCAGGGAGCAACTGGGACTTACTGGGTGTACCTTAATAGGTGAAACAAGGACTTGAAATTGAAGAGCCATGGGCAACGCTTTGTCGCTCGCCACAAGAATCTCATGTTTGGGCAGCAATAGGGCAACATCTCGTTATGCAATCCCTCATTTGGTATCACAATGGGATAGGGTCGGTTCATTCATCATAACCCCAGGGCCTCCTGATACGTTCCATCCTCAGGTTTTCCGCGACCCACAGACTTTCATATAGAACGTCTGCCTCAAAACCAGATCGTGGACAAAGGGTCTCACTAACATCACTAACAACACTAGTCAAGTGAAGGGGCCCAGCGAACGGTGGGGACTAGGTGACTAATTGTCCATCACATGTGTTCCTCCAGATGTAAGCCACAGACACGTTGCTCTGAAACACCAGGATGTTCCTGCACTAGATGTCTTCCTCCATCGCGACTAGTAACAAGTGCATCTCTACTAGTAACAAGTGCATTACTACTAGCAACAAGAAGCTACTAGTAGCAAGAAGCTACTAGTAGCAAGAAGCTACTAGTAGCAAGGCGCCTTAGCAATAACAAGAAGCTACTACCCTAAGAATCCTTTTGATCGTTTTGTCTTTACCCTTGCACGTTGCTCACGAACTGTTTGGCCGAAAACGTCACGCCTGGCACCGAGGCCAAAGCGGACGCAGCGCTGAACCAGGCGCCACGCGTTTTTTACGCAAAGGAGGGGGTAGCGCGTTCTTCTGGGTGGACCAGGGCGGTCGAAGTCATCCCGTGACTCAGTAGGCTTTTGTTCCCCAGACAGCGAAGCTATGGGTTCTTACTTCAAATAACAACGAGTTGCCCGTGGGTGCTTTCGAGACAGGTTGCTGGTGCTGGGCGCCGGTGCCGGTGCCGGTGCTGTGAGCTGGCTGTGCACGTGGTGGAGACAGGTTGCTGGTGCCGGTCTGGTGCTGGGTGCCGGTGCTGGTGCTGGTGCTGTGAGCTGGCTGTGCACGTGGTGGAGACAGGTTGCTGGTGCTGGGTGCCGGGTGCCAGTGCTGTGAGCTGGCTGTGCACGTGGTGGAGACAGGGTGCCGGTGCTGGTGCTCGGTGCTGGCTGTGCGCGTGGTGGAGAGAGGGTGGTGGGTGCCGGTGCCGGGTGCCGGTGCTGGGTGCTGGGTGCGCGCCTGGAGAGGATGGTGCTGGGCGCCGGTGTTGTGGTCCTGGGTGCTGGTGCTGTGAGCTGGCTGAGCGTGCGTTTAAGACGGGCGGCGGCACTGAGCTGGCAAAGCGCACCGGTGCTGGTGTCAGCTGCTTGTGCGCGCTGTGGAGGTGCCGTAAGCTGGCTGTGCAGGCTGCGTACATTCTTGTTCCAGCCAGTCGCATGTCAACAGGTCGTGGGATTCTGCCTAGCTAGCTGGGTCTATGCTGGTGTAATTTTGTTTTTCTCCACATCGACGTGTGGGGCTTTTGTTTTTAGTGTGGTATCCGCTGCTCCCTCCTCCTCCTCCTCCCGCCCTCCGCTTGCCACCAAGCAATTGCCACCAACAAAACTGCCACCAACCAATTGTCACCAACCAATTGCCACCAACTAATTGTCACCAACCAATTGTCATCAACCGATTGTCATCAACCACTTGTCACCAACGAATTTCCAACAACCTTTTCAACAACCAGTTGTCATCAAGCGGTTGTCATCAACCAATTGTCAGCAACCAATTGTCAACAACCAATTGCCATCAATTGCCACCCACCAATTGTCACCAACCAATTCTCACCTACCAATTGTCACCAACCACTTGTCATCAACCGATTGTCACCAACCAATTCTCACCAAGTGTCAACAACCAATTGTCATCAACCGATTGCCATCAACCGGTTGTCACCGACCAATTGTCAACGACCAATGTGTTCTCCAGGGGGTCGCATGTACGCCCTGGCGCTGGCTGGCGCTGGCTGGGGCTGCTGGGTCTCCGCCGCTGTGCCGCTGTGATTTGCGTGGCAGGCGCAGTACTTGGCGCTCTCCAGGGGGTCGGATGTACGCCCTGGCGCTGGCTGGCGCTGGCTGGGGCTGCTGGGCATCCGGCGCTGTGCCGCTGTGACTTGCGTCGTACTTTGGTGTTCTCCGGGGGGTCGGATGTACGCCCCGGTGCTGCCTGGTGCTGCTGGGTCTCCACCGCTGTGCTGCTGTGATTTGTGTAGCGTTTGCGTGCTGGTGGGTCTTTGCCCTTCTGAAAGGGTTATTTTTGAGGGCCTGTTTTTTTAAAAGAAACATGGTCCTCAAATCTGTTGTTTTCTTTGTGTTTTCGAAGCGCTAGCACAATGATTCTTTTTCGTGAGACTTGTGTGTGATAGATCTTGAAGCACGGCTCTTAGCATCGAGGTGCACACTAGACTCCTCTGGTAATATTGGCGCAATTGCCACCCACCAATTGTCACCAACCACCTACGCAGATATTCTCTCTTGCTAAGTTGCTCACATGTGGGATTATCCGGTCCTATATTTTTTTTTTGTGAACTTTACTTGGGGTCTCCAGCTGGTGTCGCTGGAGGGGGGTATGTGATAGGACCCACACCCAAATAGTATAGATCTATGTTCAAAGAAAGGGCTGAGGGACTACCAAGATCGTTCATGGCATGGCTTCTATTTCAGCGGGTCCGGTGGTCGTTGATTTTGAGCAGAAGGGGGAGGGGACCACGATTTCCGCAATGCGTGGTCCCCGATTTCGGAGATGTTATCGGTTCAGGATTTCCGATTGTCCTTCATGATGACTCCCCTAAGGTGGTTTGGACATGAGACATCCGGGAGACGGCAACTCATGCGTTTCCCCTTTTGATGTTGACTGAAACCAAATGCCGCTCTTGGCTAGGCAAGACTGCTCTGGGCGTGCCACTGCCCTGAAAAAAACACAACCGGCGAACCGGACATTGAAAAAGGGTGCCTGAAAACCTGCTCATGTCTAGTCCAAGACATGCAGCGCTGTCATTGAGGTGGTGATCTTTGGAAGGAATCAATACTTGGTACGGAAAGGCCAATCAGACAATCGCCCCGGAAGCATTGGCTAGGTTCTCATTTGGAGACACCGTGTTTCTCTACAAGACCTGGTGAACCTGGTGTGAGACTGGGTGAGACGCCAGGCGAAGACCCTCATTCGCACCAAACAGGCGGATGCCAAGAAGTTTCCGAAGGCGGGCCGTGACCGCACCGTGACCTGAAGCGTCGGCCTTCCCAAGTTGGTAGTTGTTCAGGCCGGTGCCAGAGGTCGCCACGTGCTTCCAAGCACTACTGCAGCCGTGTCCACTTGCTTCGCAATACAACGTGCCCTTCTAAACCAGGTTGGTTTTTGACCGGATGAAACAAGGTTCTTTCAGTTTCATGGCTGATGGACGATGGAAGTGGACGAGGAGCCAACTTGGATATGTTTCGGTATGCTTCGCCAAGCAGGGAAGCATGTCAACTACGGGCATGTTTGTGGATTGTAAAGGAGCATAGGAGGCCTCCTAAACCCGCACCAAGACAGCAACGGATGACGTCCAGGGTAGAAGGTTTTTCCAAGATCCAAGATAAGAACTCAGATCTACTCTGACAGACCACAAGAGGGAAAAAGGATTGGCCGGTAAATGAGCCAGCGACTGGCCAGAGTGGCCACAAGTCCTCTCCCTTTGCCAGGTGCATTTGGGGGCACCTGAAACCAACACTTTCACCTAGTTTAGGCTCCAACACCTTCGGTCAGGCCTTCGGTCACACCGAAGCGGTCGCTCAGGAGCTTCAAGACCGGGCCGCCAAGGAGCTCTCCGCTCTGCTCACCCGGGCAGAGGCGGTCGGTCGATGGCCGAGATGGTCGAGTTGGCCGAGGGTGTCGATAGATGTCGTTAGTAAGGAGGGAAATTTCAGATGTTTGATGTTTGGTGTTTTTCCAAGGTAGAGGGTAGAGTTTTCTTGAATTTGGACTTTAACCATTTTATAACCTGGAATAGTAGGAGAGGAGTGGGCTTTAAGCCGGATACCTTTCTTTCCATGAAGGACCGCAAACACACTGCAAGCTTCCAAATGAGATTGGGCAAAGTTTAATCCCAAGCGCACTTGCAGGGAAAACACCATTGTGTGCTTCTACGCAGATAGTCCACCAACGCGGCGAGCTCATGAATGTCTCAGTATACTAGTAGTAAGGCCAAGAGCTCCTAGTAGTGTCCTTGCTATGAGAGTGCCAATTGTCCTAACCTCTATTTCATATCGAGCCGTCGAGCTCTTCTTGGATTTCTGTCAGAAAGATTGCCGCTTCGGAGCGCTGGTTTTGCAAGGCCTGCGGCAAGAAGATCACAGACTTCAAGAAGGAAACGATGGAAAGGAAACTGAATGCTATCATGGCAGAGGCGCCCTCCGCAAAAGACATTTTTGACGTCCGAATTGCATTCATTTGGCATGAGCATGGTCTTGTTCCTTGTTTTGTGGATGATATGTAGAATCTGTAGATGGAGATTTGGGACAATGCTTTCACGTTCTCTGGTGAACATGTTTGTATTTGGGTTGGGTGTCTTTTTTTTGATGCTGAGAGTTTTTGTTTTTTATGCGCACAACGGGGTTGGTGTGGTTTTGGGGTAAGGGTTTCGTTTTTTAATGCTTACAGTGCCATTTTTTATGCTTGCGGTTTCTTTTCTTATGCATGCAGGTATTTTTTTAATGCACACGGTTTCTCTTTTTTTATGCGGTACTGTGGGGAGAGAGTAATAGACTGTAATTTCTGGGGGGTTTTGGTACAAAACCTAATGGTCGGGAGGTTGCAATGGAGGATGCAACCGGGGGGTTTGAGTGAAAGGCTCTCGTAGCACAGATTCCTCTTCTAAAGGCCCTCGTAGCACAGAGTCCTCTTGTAAAGGCTCCCGTAGCACAGATTCCTCTTCTAAAGGCGTAGCACAGAATGCTCTTCTAAAGGCTCTCGTAGCACAGATTCCTCTTCTAACCACCCGAGGGTGAAATTTAGATGAGGCAGGTGCCATTCCAACGGTGCATACTTTAGAGGAGGAATGTGCCAATCCAACGATGCACACCCTTCGTGACCCAGCCGAGGCTGAAATTTAGATGAGGCTGGTGCCGGTGCATACCTTTTGTGAGCCACCCGAGGGTAAAATTTAGAGGAGTGTTCCACTCCAACGGTGAGCTACCCGAGCCGCCGGAGGGTAAAATTTAGAGGAGGAATGTACCAACCCAACGATGCAAAGCTTTTGTGCCACCCGAGGGTACAATTTAGAGGAGGAATGCGCCAATCCAACGATGCATACCTTTTGTGACCCAGCCGAGGGTGAAATTTAGATCAGGCAGGTGCCATTCCCACGGTGCATACCTTTTGTGAGCCACCCGAGGGTCAAATTCTGTGTTACAACCTCCCTCGCAGCTTCTCGTATAGAAGAAAACACTCTGCGCATAAGAAAATTTTTCCCGGCAAGAGACCCCAAACAGTGTGTGTGAGGTCTATAAGCAGAAAGTCTAGAGATCTAGACGCATTGGGGTCCAGAGAGGTGATGGTGGTGATCAAGGTGAAGATCGTGGTGACGGTGGCGGTGGTGGTGAGTGAGTGAGTGAGTGAGTGAGTGAGTGAGTGAGTGTGGGTGTGAGCGCGAGTGAGAGTGAGAATGAGTGTGTGTGAGAGTGTGAGTGAGAGTGAGTGTGAGTGAGAGTGGGAGAGTGAGAGCCGGTCGGGTGAGAGTGTGAGTGTGAGTGTGAGAGCTTCAAGGTTCACCAAGTGCTGTACTTGCCACGAAATCTGCACTTCGAGGTTCACCAAGTGCTGTGCCTGCCACGAAATCTGCACTTCGAGGTTCACAAAGTGCTGTGCCTGCCACGAAATCTGCACTTCGAGGTTCACAAAGTGCTGTGCCTGCCACGAAATCTGCACTTCGAGGTTCACAAAGTGCTGCGCCTGCCACGAAATCTGCACTTCGAGGTTCACACGGTGCTGCGCCTGCCACGAAATCTGCACTTCGAGGTTCACCAACTACTGTACCTGCCACGAAATCTGCACTTTCACAAACTGCTGCACCTGCCACGAAATCTGCACTTCGAGGTTCACAAAGTGCTGCGCCTGCCACGAAATCTGCACCTCGAGGTTCACAAAGTGCTGCGCCTGCCACGAATTCTGCACATGGAGGTTCACAAAGTCGAAATCTGCGCGTCGAGGTTCACCAAGTACTGTACATGCCACGAAATCTGCAAACGAGCCACGTGTCCAAAAGTCACGATTCACTGCACCTGTCACGAAACCTGAGCTCCTCGACGATCACCACCATATCCAAAGTGCTGAACTGCCACGAAAACTGCATTTCGAAGTAAAACAGCTCCGATCCCTCGCGCCTGTCACGAAAAGACTTTGAAGCACGAAAACACGAGGTTTCTTTCCCTTGCGCCTGCCACGAAAAGTGGCCATCGTGTGCGGAAATGCGCACGACACAACGAGAGCGCAGTCGTTAGAAGCACCCGCTGCGGTCCCCCAGACTTTCAAGGCAAGCCTGCGGCAGTCGAAATGCGCATTGACAATGTCGAGAGGCATGAATGTACTGTAAATAGCAGCGAATTAGCCGCACACGCCCGCGCGGAACAGCGATCTAAGCACACCTGCTTTACACTTACCGTAAGAACCCCTAGTGTGTCCACACTGTTTGGGGTAAAAGACGTCACCCAAAAAAACCTTCAGCGTAAGAAAAAGCCCTCAGCATTAAAAAACCTTCAGCATAAGAAAAAATCCCTTAGCATAAAAAATAGAACCCACCCAAGTTCAGCATTAAAAGAAAACTGTTAGCAAACTATGCCCTTTATATTTTGTAGCATTCACTTGAGAGTTCCTCGCGGGAGCGTCTGCTGCAAAGGGAGGACACCGCACATGCTTCGCCGTCCCCTGAGGCGATGGAGGCCATTAAGAAAGCTGAGGCGAAAGTCAACGCGCACGCAGAGGCGCCGGGTGCTGATGGGCCGTGGGAAACGGGTGCCCAAACGCATGCCACGATGGGGCTGGGCATTTTGAGGATGTGGATGATATGGTCGGGGTGCCGCATGTGAGCTGAGTCATGGGCTGAGGCTGTGGCTAAGTCACCCCGCCGACTTCTGATTGTTTCGAAAAGGTTCATCTCTGACTCTGGAATGAACATTTGGTCGAGCTCTTGTCACGAAAACTAGCTAGCATGCTAGCTGAGTTCTTCTTTGTGCCCTTCACTCTGTCAGTAAGAGCGACAAGAGTATGTCCATTGACAAAACGAAGGACGGAGACATAAATGTTGAAACCGACATTCATAACATAACCTTCAAGTGGGGGCGAAATGCAACTCCGTCAGACGATGGACAACCGTTAGAGACTGTAAAACACACAATGGACAAAAAATGATGAAAACACACTTAAACAGTAGATAGTAGTATATTTTAGTATGACTATGGAAGGTAGTGTGGCAAAAAACTCAAAGAATTTTCAGAATGGAAAAACTATTGTATAAGAAACTCTGTCAATGACAAAATCTATACTGGAAACCCTGTCAGAGCCTGAGCAAAAGGATGGCTTATCACAGAGCAGATGCCGTCAAACCTCATCGCCAGAGCACATTGATATACAAACTAATGTCCGAATATGGAAGTGAAAACTTTTACATTGAACTTATTGAAGATTAACGTTGTGATAATGTTTATCAACTACAAAGGCGAGAAGGAACATTTATTAGAGAAAGGAACGCATCTTTGAACCAAAGAGTGGCAGGAAGAACATTTGAAGAATACAAAGTAGAATGTAGTGAGCACTTCAAGCAAATGAAGGCAAGTCATTTCAACAAATATAGGGAACACAACCCAGAAAAAGTCAAGGCAAGAGGAAAGCCGAATATTTGACAGATTGTGACAAGTTTAGGGAAGATGCTAAGAGATACAGAGATGAACACAGAGAAGATATTAACATAAAACAAAGGGAAAATTTCCCCGAAATTAAAAGATTTAAAGAGTAGATATTGAGTGGAAAGTTTTGATAAATAAGTATCTAAATAAATACATATATATATAAATAGTTATATATATATTATATGAGTGATATGGACCTGGACGAGAGCTAAACTGATGGAACTGACAAACAAACAGAACCGATGTAATAAGAACATCAAAACCATAATGGAGACTTTGAAGACCATTGAGGAGAAACTCACTGAACCTAAAAAGGAGGAGAAGAAGGATGATAAGGAAAGGATGGATAAAATCTTTGAAAAGAAGCAGATAGGAAGACCGGTAGGTTCGTGGGAAGAGAAGAGAAAACAATACTGGGAATGGGTAAAATCACTCAACCTAAAGAGGAGACGCTTGAATATTACAAAATCGTAAAGGATACTGAAACGGAGAAGTATATTTTAGTTTGATACTTTCATATTAAACCATATATAGAGTTTAATATGACACTATTAGAGCTCTTCAGTGGAACGGGGAGTGTTGGTAGAGTTGCCCGTGAATTCGGTTTTAGTGTAATATTATCAGATTTGAAGAACGCGCACATTAATGAAGACATACTACAATGGGACTATAGAAAATTTGGCAAAGACTTTGACGTTATTTGAAGTTATTTGTGCATCCCCGCCTTGCACCGAATATAGCAGAGCAAAAAAGACGGGAGTGAGAAACATAGATTATGCGAACAGCATTGTCACAAAAACTATTGAAATCATAAACTACTTTCAACCGAACATACTTTTCGTAGAACATCCGCAGACGGGACTTTTGAAGGAACAGGAGTTTATGAAAGATTTTGATTATTACGACGTTTATTATTGTATAAGTATGGTTTCAACTATAGAAAGCGAACGAGGATATGGACGAACTTAAAGAATTGGAAACCCATCGTGAATATGTGCGGGAAGTGTGGAAAGAAGCAAATGAAGTTCCAGACTATGGAACACCCACTTTTAGATTTGGAAAAGGCAAGAATGAGAATGTTTTTTGACAAGGACTTCAAGGATGAAGAGGAAGATATATATTTTTTGATTTAGAGGAGTTGAAGGAACACCTGAAAGAACTAACGCCCGAGAAGAGACGAGAAGCAAAACAATTTGAACAATTAAGACACCTCGCCAATGGCAGAGACAAGAGCGAGGGAATGAACGAGTTTGATAAAGTCATAAAAGCGATAGAAGAGGAGGAAAAAGAAAAAGAAAACCAACCAAACTAGAGCCCGAAAAATGAACAAGACCCCAAAAAGACTTAAAGAAAAACTACCTATATATAGCAATAGAAAAACAGTAGAATTTTTGAAGACTTGAGTTCAATTTCTGAACATTTAGGTTTGTATGGTGACTTCGGTAGTGAAAGTGAGATGAAGAAAACAGATAGAAAAAGAGGACGAGGAGATTAGAGACTTTGTAAAATGTCATCCTATGCCTTCACCCGACGACGAGGGTGGTGATGACTTCCGGCGTAAAGTGATTGATAGGATGAAGGAAAACGAAGGAGTAAATACTAGGTTAATCTATTCATTCGTGAGGTTTGACATTATGAAGAGAGTGTATGAAAACCTCACTGATAAAAAAGGTAATCATTGATTGTGGAATTGTGGAAAGGAACTCAACCGTGATGGATAATTCAACGCTATGGTTATCAACACAACCCTTCTATCAATAGCGATGGATGAACTCAATGATACAAACAAACCGTGCCTAACACAAATGAGGGTCATTGAGCACTGGTGGGATGGAATAAGAACATGGAAAGCATAAGCACGATTAATTCATAATATGTTAATAAAACATATTATGAACTGATCCTTTAAACCCAAACCCCCACAACAAGAGAACCCCCTCAAAAACATTTAAAGACATAACCCCTTAAACTTATACAATGACTGACAAACAGCAATGTTTCAAGTGGAAGGTCTTTCAACCACTCAACTATTTCAAAAATGAATGTAAGCAATGTAAATTATGTTTGGAAGCACAACAGGGAGATAAACCAAGATAAATTAGGAGAGTATGCCAGACAATACTACTATCGTAAAAATGAACAAACATTAGTCATTAGTATGTCCGGTGTGCGGAAGCATCATAAACAAATATCAAGTCAAACGACACGAGAAAAGCATCACACATCAAAACAAAGTAAAAGGAAAAGAACAGCCAACAGTTATAAGAAATGGAGAGGATGATGAAACTGGCATCATGGGAACATAAACCCCAAAGCCAAAAAACCCACCACGAAACAAAACACAACAACCTAGACAATCATCCACCTCGTTGAATTATAGCAATGATAGTGAAAGTTATGACCCTAAAACACGCATAACAAGACCCCCAGAAAAACGACGAAGGCTCAACACAAATGTTCAAGAGCCAAGACAATTCAACGAGGTGATTAATGAACCAAAACTCCCCAGAACCCCATTTTACAATTTTTTCCCCCCGCGGTTCAACTCCCAGTTGCGCCTCTTGAGGGGATCTATGCATATTCTTTCTACCAGCTACCTTTTAACCATTTAAAAATATTATTGATAGCACAGCTCCGTTTGCGCAGCCCTCTGCAGCCCTCTCAAACATGATCGAACACCAAGCGTTGTGCCAGCAAAATTGTGTGAATTTTCAAACCATTCTATATCATTCCTCCATGCGTTTCCTGCTTTGCTTTGCTGCTGCTGCTGCTGCTGCTGCTGCTTACGGTTGTTGCTGCTTTGCTGCTTATGGTTGTGGTTGTTGCTGATTTGCTGCTAATGGTTGCGATTGTTGCTGCTCCCTGCTGCCTGCTGCATGCTGCTGCTGCTCCTTCTCCCCTGCGGGCCTGCTTCCTGCTTGCCTGCCTGCCAGCCTGCCTCCCTGCTTGCCTGCTTGCCTGCTTGCCTGCTTCCTTCCTTGCCTCTGGCCTGCTGGCCTGCTGGCCTGCTGGCCTGCTGGCCTGCCTGCCTGCCTGCCTGCTGCCTGCTGCTTGCTGCTGCCTTTGCTGCTGCCTTTGCTGCTGCCTTTGCTGCTGCC